AGCAGGAAGTATTTTTATCAAGACGAAGAAAATAAAGCTGGAACGAGCAATGGATACTACAACGAGCAACACAGGAGGTGGAAGCGCGTTCGCCAGCGATAGTTCTACGAATCTGGCAACCGTGATCAAAGGCCTCAAGAAATTCGACGGAAAGGACCCAGCTGAGTTCAAGACATGGATGAAGAAATTCTGCGTGGTGTTAGGTGTGACCAGGAAGGACATCCTGCCACTGCTGAAGAAACAAAGGAAGCCAGATCCCGCAGACACAGCGGCCTTCGACTCCTACACAAGGGCAAACGAAGATCTCTACGCCATTCTTTTCCTCCTAGTGGAACTTCCAGCCGCCTTGTCGATACAGAAGCACGAAGACGACACTGGCATCAGCGGCGACGGACAAGCTGCCTTCGAGGAGCTCTGCAACAACTATGACAGGGTAACGGAGGAGGTCATCAGGGCCAAGATGGAGGAGCTGGAGAACAACCCCACGAACCCTGGTGAAAATCCCGACGACTACTTCAACCAGAAGCACCTACTTCGCACCCAGCTGGATAAGATGGGAGAACCCATCTCCGACCGCCGCTTCAAGGACATCTGCGTACAGGGCTTCTCTGACGAATACAAGGACGTCAAACTGATGGTGTTCAGAGACCCAACCTTCAACGTCCTGGACATGCAATCCACCATGCGCAACATCTTCTTGGACGAACAATCGCGCAAGGGATGGAAGGGACGCATAGCTGGTCGAGGATTTGCCATGGCAACGACCGCGTCTGACATCATCTGCCACAGCTGCTACGAGCCGGGGCACATCAGGAGGAACTGCCCCAAGATCAAGAACAGGGCGATGAAGACGAAGCCCGCCGGAGCTACCAAGTGGTGCTCCAAGCACAACACCACGTCTCACTCGGACGAGGAATGCTACCAGCAAGGAGGAAAGCGCCCGGAAGACACCAAGGACTCAAGCAAAGCACTCACCGCGTGCTCCAACTGCACTCACTGCTCGTCGGCGTCCAACAAGCACGACTCAAACAATGAAGTGGCAGTTGTCGACTTCACCCGGGACGAGGACGCCTTTGACAGCGGCTTCATGTTCGGCACGTGTTCCCGCATCTCAGGACGCAACTTCGCCGCGAGCTCCACCGGGGTAGGCCTGCTGGTAGACACGGGAGCATCGGAGACCATGTTTGACAATCGCCTCATCCCCGACGGAAACCTCCACGATTACACCCAGCGAAACTCTCCAAAGATCGTGGACGTGGCCGGAGAAAGACAACTCAAAGGCACGGCCACGGGCATCCTACACTGCACCGTCAAGGACAATCGAGGACAGCAATTGCGCGTGCGGATTCAGGGACTCATCGTTCAGGGACTCGGTCGCAACATTTCTTCGCCCACCTCCCTCCTGAAAAAGAGATTGCGCTGCGTCGTCGAAGAGAGCACTCCGCACCTCACTATCCAAGGCAAGGTGATTCCACTCACACAAGATCCGCGAGACCAAGGCATGTGCACCCTCGACATCACGTTCGAGCAGAACGTCCAGCCATCTGGCACGAAATCCCTCGTGCCCCACCAGAAGCAGTCACAGACCCACACGGCGAACGCCGTCTGCTTTACGCTAGTGAGCGCGGACACCTGGCACAGGAGGCTTGGACATCTCAATGCTCGGAGCCTGGACATCCTTCGGAAGGACACGGGTACCGGGGTGGACTATCGCGACAGTCTCTCCCCTTGCGGGGTCTGCCAGATCGCGAAACACAAGCAGTCCCCCCACCCGAAGCAATCGACTCGCGAACTATCACGGCCTGGACAGCTTGTGGTCATCGACAACATGGGGCCTGTTAATCCACCTGCGAAATATAAAGGAGGCTCCTTCCCGTACGCGTGCAAGATCACCGACGACTACACGAAGATGAAAGAAGTGTACCTGCTTCGCAAGAAATCTGACACGACCGAGGCGGTGCACACGTACAACATGTGCGTCGCAGCGGCAGGAGGCTACCGGATCGAGACCATCGGCTGCGACATGGGAGGCGAGAACACCGGATCCGAATTTCGGGACTACTGCAAGAATTC